CCACCGCAGTTTCGGATACTCCATCTTTTGCCCAGCACCCGACCAGGGCAAGGATAGCACCAGCGTCTGTGCTCCGACCCACTCCCTAATCAGCCTCACCCTGCTGCCGACATCATACCGGACCATCCTTCCGAGTGCCTCTGCGCTTGTTCTTCAACAACGCTCTTGCACTCCCAGCATTCACACAACACCCACACTCTACCACCTTAATCACACTCTACCACTTAATCACCCTCGCAGCTCCGTACCGGCCACTACCCATCCGCTCTGTTATTCTTCGCCCGCAATGCCTGGCCATCTCCGCACTCGCTTAAAGCGCGTCCTCACTGCTGGCTCACACAAGAATGCAAAACCAGAGGAGCCCGAGTCGGATTTCTACAAGCCTGGAGAGAAGATGCCTCCCCTCAAGTACCGTCGCGCCGTCGATCCCGAGCACAAGAAAAAGCTCGAGGCTTTCAGCTTTTCGACTGCATGGCGCCGCCACAGCAACGCCTCACTGTACTCACCCATGGGTAGCAGGCTACCGAGCCGCAGGAGCAGCTTTAGGAGAAGAAGCCGCAGCCGTAGTATGCACCGAAGTCGGAGAGGAAGTTGCTCTTCCGACTACGATGCTGAAGAGTGGGTAGACAGCGGCATCGGAGCGAGCATCGCCGGTGACGACAGGCCGGCAAACATCAAGGAGGCGTCCGATGACGAAGGAGATGTGCTCAATGGTGTGTTTGACTATGTTTGCATATAGCCGTTGCGTTACTGACTTGCCTAGTGGGCCTCTCCCGTAATCCAACCGAAGACCCTCGCGACGCCCGCCGGAAACAATCACAAGGCGCTCGCCGCTCCAGCTCCGTCCAACAGCCTTCGAGACCTGCCACCGGCTCCGACCGCACTCGTAATCCCTCGCAACCTTTCTCGCCAGAAGAGCTCGAGATCGCACTACAAAGGTCGCACCTCGAGGCCACGAAAGAGGAGTCGGACAAGAGTGCCAGCGAGAGTCCATTCGAGGACTTTGACGACCCAAGCCCTTTCCTGAGGCCGCGTGGTGGATCCATCTACGTACCATACAACGGCCAAGGCACGCCTCCAAAGCTGCCCTTCTGGGGCACTGCATACCCCTCGTGCGACGACGCACCGTCCAGAGGCCATTTCTCGAGACGGGCATCGGTTTTCCTAGAGAATGAAGACGGCTCTTGCACCCCGCAGTACGATCGCCGCGAATCTTTCTTCGTCCCAATGAACGCCCCGGGCCTGACGCAAGCACGTCAGATCTCCGTCTCCGACTCCAGCTCCGCTGAGGACGAGTGCGTATGTCCGCCTCAAGTTGCCGAAGCTCCGCAACGCAAACCCCAGCCCTGCGCTCCTTGTGACGCCATTGCCGCGATCCTCGCGAGACCTGATTGATTTTTCTCTGCATTAGCGTTCACTTCACACTGTCGATATTCGATGCATTCGGTCTGTACATATTGTCCATTGCATTTCTCGGCGTTACTCCATGTAAGAACCCTCTGATCGGTTCCATGTTTACAAGCCAGGCTTGGCTTTTTCTCCTTCACGTTCTGGGCTGGAATGTCTCATAGACTACATCTGACATCGTCAACGGTTTCACTTTCACGTCATCACATAATGAAATTCTTCAAATTCTTCACATCTTCAGTCTTAGTTACGTTTGAGCTCCGTCTCGTGTCTGTGCGATCACAGGTGTACTCCTATTACTCTGTAATAATAATTCACGAGTTCACAATACACATGCGATTCAACAATGTCTGACTTGAAGATCGTTATGCATCGGCAGCACGCGCTCAATCATTCAACAGCGACGTGCGGTCTTCGGAGCCGGCCACAGCCACCCACGTGCACCCCAGCTGCCAGCGATCATCACAACCTGCATTGCCTGCACCGTCACTCGCTGAGCCTCACTCTGCGTATCCCAGCCACGAAAAGAAAGAATCACCCACTCCCCAATGGCCATCAAACACGACCGTCTATCCTCGCCCAGAACACGCGTCGCATTGCGTCGTCGCGTTGTTCTTCTCCTTTACCGCTCTAATTGCACAGGTCGTCGTCGCGCGTGCACGGCTCTCCGATCAGCTCTGATCAACAATCAATGTTCCTTTTTTCCCTTTTGCTCGTCTCCTCCCACGCGGTGCGCGTGGGCCTAAGTGCTCTCACTCCACATTTACACTTATGCATTGCAGCTCAACGCGCGCGTGAAGGTTTGTACGGTACGGGACTCCGGAAGTGTTGGCATGTACAGTAACAGGGTCCTGTCAACCGCTTTTTCCTTTTACCTTTTGCGCCGCCGACGCCGATGCAAGATGCAGACGCGCGCTCGGCCCACTTTGCTCCCGTTCCTCGTTGTTTTCGTAGGTTCGTGGGGGGCGGGCGTTTATTGATAGATGGATTTGCAGCTGGCCTACTCCTACCTAGGCGTATGTTTGCACGTTATGCTGGATGCGTTGTAGTACAATGTATTACCCCGGGATACATCTAAACCTATTCTAGCCTGTACGAGGAAGTCGTTTCTAGCAACGAACCAGTAGAAAACCTCCCATGGAAGAAACATTCGATATGCAGATGCATGCTGGATAGTCACGCCATGAGTGCAGTGGAAGAAGTTTGCGCTTGCTGCCGGTACTTCCGTTGAGGTGGAAAAGGATTGGGATATACCCTCATCGATTCGCCAGGGAACACTCATCCGACTCGCATCGCATCCTACCTACAGTGCATTCCGCACTGCGAAACTCACACGCCATCCGATCGCACGATGTCGTCTCGTTTCGTCGCGAGGCGGCACGGCACAGCACAAAGGACGGCTTACCTCTTACGTACAACCGCTTAGTCGACTCCTCTTCGCGTCTTCGCGTTTTCTAGCTACGCGATTCGTCTGCGAGCGCGCCACCCCACCCCGCGCTTGTTCCTCTCGGCGGACTGGGCAAGATTTTAGCCTCGTGCGCGCTCATCCTTCTCTCGTCTCGGCGGCTTTCATGGCGGAATCTGCAAACATTACGTCAGGGTAGCTTGGGTCTGCGTGCACCGGGTTACTTGCTTTGCGCGAGGTCGTGGGGTGGGTGCTGCGGAAGGTTTTCTGAGTCGTGAATATTGGGGGTACTGGGTACGCGTTTGGCACATGCGGGTTTATGGGCTACACACGAAATTCGATGATGGGATTCTGTTGGGTTAGGGCTGTGGCGAGTGAGACTCGGATCGCTCGGAGAAGGATGGGGTAAGCGGTGCTGGGAATAAGGGTGGGATGATGGATATAAAGATGAGGATGGGTGCTTGGGTGGTGTAAGATGTATGGTGTGTGTGTGCCACCGGGAGAATGGGAGCGCAATAGCGTTACATTCACGGCTGTCACGATGGTTACATGAATGTCGCCGGGTGATGTCTTTGGACTCACAGGGTGATGTGATGTGATGTCAGACGGTGACTGATAATTGGTATGTTTGACTTGCGGTTCTGTAGATGTTATTGGCTTACTAGTAGATGAGAGACATTGGAACGATGTCTCCCGAGGTCATGGGTTGGCAATCATTGCTGAACACTTGGTACATCGTTGGTGAGACGGGATAGCCCACGCTCAACATGAAGCGTTCTTACAATAGAATATGCAATAACAGCATGTATACAAGGAAGCAACCGCTCGAGATGTATCGACTTTACATGCTCGCGGCTATATAGCAGTGAGTGGTCGCTACGCTATACGGATGTGGTTGCAGTGTTTCAATTTCGCTGAAATTTGGTATGGCTTCGTATGATATGTGTGCACGACAATCTTATGTATCAGATCTGGGATCTCCTGAAAGGTATACTAGATAATCTGCCTCCTTATAAGGGTAGGCAGAGGCACTCCTGACATATGGTACTAGCAATGTAGGAAGTGATTGAACTCGCGGTAGACTCTTGATCAGATCCGATGACCAGATTACATGAACCGAGGTCTGGAAACCCGCGAGTATACAACGCGCCAACGACACAGTGGAGAGAATGCGGAAGATGTTGTAGATGTTAATGAAAGCAGCGGGTACGAATATGGCAGCCTGAACTCGAGTCGATTTTCTTGATACTTGTCAAGTTGGGCGTAGAGTGCAAGACGGCTTTCCTGGGCATGGTCGCTCACCCGTGTCGAGACTAACATGGTTGTGGCTCGCTCTGCCTTGTATCAGGCCTTAGCCGTCATGGCGACGTTACACTAACGTCCAGTCTTCGTCTGTAGCACAGGTACATCAAGTCTCTTCCTTCGTTCTTGTTAACGCAGTATGAGACCTTGAGCTTCATCTCATCCTCGACAACGCGTCTGCACGACAATAGTACGGCCACGATGTATGTGACGTAGAAAACAATCGGAGCTGTTGATATCACTTATCGAGGAAAGAATGGTCGACAATATGCTGACCGAGGATAGTTCTCTCCAGCTTCCTGGCTAATGAAAAGCTACGCGCAGGTCAGCCAAAGTACCCAAACACTGTCGCGCGCATGCGACAGCTGCGAACGACTGCACGCAGACGAATCGTCCTCCTCATCCTCAGCCAACAGTTCGCGCATCTTTGGAAATGCTCGGTGAGGTAATCCAGCATACGTGCTCGACAGTAGCGCGAACCGGGAGGTGCGGAGATGATTGAATCTCGAACCAGTGCGCGCCAATGGGATTCCTTCCGAAGCGCGTTACGATGGTACGATCATCGCCACGCACCCCAACGCCTCGCTCTTACCAGACTATGTGTCGCGGCCCGCCGTTGCGAATGGTCGGTGCAGGCACAGCTCGCAGTAAACATGGCAACGAGAGCAGCGGAGACCCTGGTGCCAGCCCAGCGCGGGAAATGAGCCCACGACAGTGCCCATCTCGCACCACAAAAACCTCGTGAAAAGCTGCAGACTCTGGACAAACATTCCCGCATCCGGGCACCTGTCGCACTCAAACTCCACACGGCACAGGCAAGACTATGCCCGCCCCTCGTTAGTCGTCCGACGCTTTACTGCTTCGCTGCAAGCTGCCCGATATCGCCATGCGCCGAGATGCGCCATTGACGGCAGAGGCCCAGCTCCTAGCCCCACTTTGGCTGCCCGAGCCGACGACTGTGAGAGCGAAACACCAGGACAAAGTCCAGCACATCGAGGTCACGCACTTGGAGTATGACTACGACATCTCGTCTTTAGCGCTGGGTTTTGTTCCGTTCCCTTTTACATCTGGTGGCGGCGTTACCTATAACACAATGGACGCTCCCGAGGCGCGCAGGTTCTCGACGAGCACGGCTGAGCGCGTCGGCTTACTCAGGGCGCACGAAAACGCGGCGAAGCAGAATCAATATGGCGCGATTCCGGATCCCTCTGAAATTGAGAGTCTGCTGGGCGGAGATGGGACGACAGAAGAGCTGGGGACCACGGCGGGGCAGGAGGCCAAGTTGCTGCTGAAGTACAGCGTTCCGTTGATGGGGACGTACCTGCTGCAGTACTCATTCAGTTTGGTGACGATATTCGTCGTAGGGCATAGTAAGTCTTCGAAATACAGATCCCATTAGATGCAAGCTGACTCTTATCCTGCATAGTCGGAACAGATGAGCTTGGTGCGGTCTCTCTTGCCACAATGACAGCCAACATCACCGGACTAGCAATCTACGAAGGACTGGCCACATCACTAGATACTCTCTGCGCGCAAGCTTATGGTTCCGGGAAGAAGACCATGGTCGGACTCCACCTTCAACGCATGATCCTCTTCATGTTAGCTGTGACCATCCCCATCGGAGCTATCTGGCTGTGTTCAGGTTGGATTTTGGCCGCCCTGGTCCCCGAGAAGGCGATTGCGCATCTCGCTGGATACTACCTCTCTTTACTCCTCGCAGGAGCACCAGGATATGCCATCTTTGAAGCAGGCAAGCGGTTCACGCAAGCACAGGGCCTGTTCAACGCTTCGCTCTTTGTCTTGCTTATTGCGACGCCTATCAATATAGCTCTGAACTATATTTTCGTCTTCGTTCTGGACTGGGATCTAACGGGTGCTGCTCTCGCGACTGTCATCTCCAACAACCTCCTACCATTGCTGCTTTGGATATACGTATACTTTGTGAACCCGTCTTCGCTGGAATGCTGGGGCGGCTTCACGAAGGATGCGTTCACCCATTGGGGGCCAATGGCAAAACTCGCGATTCCAGGTATCGTCATGGTTGAGACCGAGTGGCTGGCTTTCGTAAGTTTCACGCACTGCATGCTCGGGCATGGAGCACATGCTAATCCTCTAGTAGGACATTCTTACCTTCTCCACAAGCTATCTTTCCACAGCTCACTTAGCAGCGCAGTCAATCGTCATGACTCTAGCAGTAGCCATCTACCACGTCCCCTTCTCCGTCGGCGTAGCCGTCTCCACCCGCCTAGGCAACTTAATCGGCGCTGGCTCCCTCTCCGCCGCCCGCACAGCCACAAAAACGTACATCCTGACCTTCCTCGCCATTGGCCTCATCGACTTCGCCTTCCTAACCGCCTGTCGAAACGTCCTGCCCAAAGCCTTCACCAGCGACCCGGAAGTCGTCAGCATAGTCGCCACCGTACTGCCCCTACTCGCTGCTTTCCAATTCGCGGATTCCACAACCGCACTCGTGAACGCCTTGCTCCGTGGACTGGGTAAACAGAATATTGGTGGCTGGTGCAATCTCTTCGTGTACTATGTTATTGCGGTGCCGTTGGCGCTTTTTCTTTGTTTCAAGCAGGATATGAAGTTGGTGGGGCTTTGGACTGGGTGTGCGGTGGGTTCGGCCTGCATTACGATATCTGAGGGCATTTATATGAAGTTTTATAATTGGGATAAGGCGATTGATGATGCAAGGGAGAGGCAGGAGTAGCCTGCTTTGGAAGGGTTGGCTCAGAGAGGAAATACGACGAGAGGGAGACTCAGAGGTAGACGTAGGACATGTGTAGATCCGTGTTAATAATAAAAGCGAAAGTGAACAATCTCGCCCGAGGAGATAAGTGAACACCCTAGAGCACACATTGACGTTGGGTCACCGAGTCTGCATGTTGCTGTCTTCGTGTAGACCGTAGACCTGTTCAACTTTCCCATGCTTGAGGTGAAATGACGATCTCAGAGAGACACGTACTTAATACAGAGTTAATAATATGAGCTATGGGCTGGTTGTACAGTCAGGTAAACAAGAACGAGGCTTGTATGTGCTATGCTAGGTATCTACACTTGTGTCCAAATGGGAATTCCATAAACCCATGTCGCTGAGCGCTCTTTCCTACGAAATCTAAAGAACCAACATGAACGCTACACAAAGAAAACAATACGCGGCTTGCCAACAATAAAGCTCCCGCTCTGGTCGTCATATTGACAAACCCGGTAGAACCATGCCCTCCCAACCTCACGCTGTAACATGCTTCTGTTAACAAGAACAACTCCCAACTCTATCTATCGACGAGCGAACTCGATATCTCCCTTGCGAGCCGGCTTAATGTTCGGGTCGTACCACCAAACACACACAATAAGCGTAATCATCATAGGCAAGAAGTCGTATACATAAATCGGCCATTCGTGCGACAGCAGATAACCATCCTGATTCCATCCATTAGCAGTCACTCAACCATCAATCGAAAGGACGGAACAAAACATACCTTGCCCATCGCATACTCAATAACCCTACAAAGGTTACGAATAGTAATGCACACACTAGCCGCATACAAAAACCAGATCAACTTCGTCCACGGAATATCCGCCGACGCAGCTGTAGGTCCCTTTTGGAGTCTCACGTGCCAGATACCCGCTACGACGACGAAGAAGCCGAAGATGAGGATCTGGAGAATGAGGCCGCCGAGGATGATGTTCTCGCCGCGTTTGAAGCCCGAGGCGTCGGAGGCGGATACGAGCATGCCGGCGCCACCGCCTTGGATCATACTGGAATACTCATGTTAGCATGATGATGGCTTCTTGGGAGTTGTGTTGTGTTGTGGTGTTTTGGGAACGTACAAGCAGAGAATGTCGCCGCCAACAAAGAGCTTTGTCAACCAGTTCACGCGGATCAACGAGTACTCAGCAGAGTCTGTGCGACGGATGAGACGACCGAGGATCATGTAGATGGAAGCTGCGAAGAGGATGGGTGCGAGGAGGATGAGCGTGGATTGGATGATGTACGGGGTTTTGTTCTCGGTGTCGTTGTGGGCTGCGGCTCGGGCTGAGTAGCCTATGGCTTCGCACTGGAGTGGATGTTAGTATGTGTTTCTTTGGGTTAAGCAGCTTTTGTGACCAGAAGCTGGAGGGTTGGAGGGGGGATTGAATACATACCAGAGCTCCGATGACGAAGGGTATGCAGAACCATGTCCTGTTCTTGACAAGGCGGTATGTGTGGATGAAGAACAGTATGAACATGATCACGGCGGTAATGGCGCCGGCCGCGATGGTAGGTGTGTACGGCCAGAGTACGTACTCTGGTATCGCGTTTGAGTCGTCTACTGGTCCCGGTGTCGACATTTTGGGTTGGAGGAAGGGGGTTTGAGGCAAGAGCCTTTATGGTACCACGGAATCAGGTTGAGCAGTTGTGGCAATGTATTTGAGAGATTTGGAAGTGTCTATGGTAGTACACTGTTGAACTGTTGGTATGTGGACTGAGGCTGGCTGATGGAGAAGAGTGTAGCAACGTCTTTATGTATAGAAGTCATAACGAGAAGCCGCGGGGCACAGCCCACCTAGCGTATCCCGTATCTAGATTCCCTGGACCCGTACGTAGATTGCCCGAGCAACGTTCCCGCCCTCTGTTGGGATGCGTAGATATCCCGGATAGAGAAGGAGAAGGGTCTGTGCATACGACTAGCGCGTCCAGATACGACGCGCCAATCGCATTGCTGCCAGAATACTGAGCTCCACTCTTTTTGTTCTTTCCTCGAACATCCTACATTAGTTCCTCGCGTGTAGTGGTGTCAAACACGGGGTAGCAGGAGGAAGTCTTCAATGTCGCTTCCAGAATACGTCGTAAATCTTGACGTGGTGCGTGCAAGTAGATAAGTCGGCTGCTTCGCACGTTTCGCACAGCCTCCCCCTGATAACTATCATCGCTTCGAATGGTCGTGTTCTACGCTGACCAGCCAAGTCCTGTAAAGGTAGTCTACCTGATCAGTCAACATGCGGATACTCGAGCCTAGCCTGATTCCACTTACCACATAAGACTTCGTCAAGCCAGCCACACATTCTTCGCAAGCATATCCCAAAGCAGTCTGGTGGAAGGAATAATCAATACTGATTTGGCGTAGGGATGTTGTTTCGATGCAATAGTTGTGCGCAAGCTGGCGGTAATCAAGCATGTTTGCAACCTCCGCGTCTCCGCAACGGGCAGCATAGCCTGCGTCGGAGGATTTGTTCCATGGAGGAACATCTCGCCTTTTGCAGCAGGTCGGGAGCGTACACAGCTCGGCGCACAATGATAAAAATGTCGAATGCCAAGAAAAGTTCCAAGGCTTCATGTCGCATGTCCAGAATATGGTGTCGGCGGAACAGAGCCACCTCGTATCTGCTCCTTGGGCCACTGAAGCCACTGCTTCCACTCGCTAGGGACCATGTGATCCGCGATCTTGAGTATCTGCTCTGCGAGCCCCTCCAGATACCAGTAACTTGCTGCTGCTCTGTGCATCATGACAGCGTAATGTGCAAAGATGATTAGAGATCCCGGCTGCTTCTCCGATAGAAGCTCGATATAGCGGTTGGAGATGAGGTGAATCCAAATCTTCAGCAACGCGTCGGAAGGCGGCTTGTCAGACTTTTCCGCGACCTGGAAGACCAGTTCGAGGATATGGCAGGCAAAGCCATATGCATCCACGATATCGGGAGGATAGACATGATGGACGACTTCCGAGAACTTGCGCAGCTGGACAAGTTCAGTATTGGGTGGTTGTTCTTCCGTCATCCAATCAATGTCTTTGACGTCGTCCGGAATCATGCGGCCCAACTCGCTGGCCTTCATTTCCGTATAAAAGCCAGTCACCATGGGTCTTATCCTCCGGGTCAAAACCAGATTGGAAAGCACGCTGTCGAACGCGTGCTCCATGTCCGAGTGAGCTGCAACTGAAGCTACACATGCGTGTGGGAATAGGACTCCGGCGAACAGAAGGACCGCTTTGAAGTTCGAATGATCGATGTCGCGAACCGATGTTTGGAAACTAAGTAGAGCTGCGTCATGGTACTTCTCGGCCTGGTACGAGTATTGCAGAGCCTCTTCTGGAGCTGAGGTCCGACTCAGGTGTAGTGCGCTGAGAGCAAGAGCTGCCTGGAGGAGGTAGGGATGATCGAAAGCTGTCTGTATCAGAAAGGTCGAGCACACATCCTCAGCATCTGTATTATTCGCTGCGAGGGTTTTGGCGGTGACATTAGTATAGTGACTGCGCACGGAGTCAGTTCAAATTTCTTGATATTTTCCGTAAGCAGTGAATGTGTTCTGGTGACCGAAGGTTATGACCGGTCTTGGAGGTAGAGTGAGACGCTCTCAAAGCGTCAAGATCGAATTGAAAGGACGTACTGGAGCAACCGTAGTTGGGGTATATTAAGCGTCAGATCAGGCCGGCTGGATGCGCCATTGAGATCGATAGTACCAAACTCTGGTAATGGTTGCTGATCAAGAGCATTGGCATGACCATCCGTGGATGACGGCGTAAAAGCTGGTGTTCCAGCCGGCAAAGGCGATACGTGGGACGCCTCACGACTCTCGCGGTTGGTGGAAGGTCGGTATTCACACACCGTGCCTTGCTTCACGCAGTTTGCGCAGTTGGGCCTCTGTTCATCGCACTTTGAGATTTGTTAGTCGCAAGTAGAATTCGCAACTCGAATGGGAAGGCGCACTTTGACATGTCGGCCTTTGCACGGTAAGCAGCCGTTTCGCGACTTCTTATGAGGCTTGCGAGTCTTCGCTCTGTCCATGTTATGTTGTTGATGCGATCATATCGGAGGCTTGTCTGGAGGAACGCGATGGGCAGATTGGACGATCTACGCTTGTGATGCGTCACCCGTCGACGAAACCGGGAGCGGCACTAAGATATGGCCCGTGCACCCGAGACAGCCGTAGCCTACCCGATACAAGCACTCGAAGCACAGTTGTGGCTGTGTTCATCGTCTTGCAATTACTTATGAGGCAATCGGGCTCAAAAGGACAAAAATAGCACTGCATATGGTAGAGATGCAGGTGTTTGGCCGTACATACATTTTCACATTCGTAACCAACGTATCTATCATATCAAAAACCTCAGTGGATGTCCACGTCCCACGCTAAGTCGAGCAGAAATGCGTAACGCCAGCGCAATGACTATATTCATGCGATTACTCCTCGTCCTCATCTTCTTCATCCTCAAGGTCCGTCCGCTCAACAATCAGATTACCACTTCGGCCAATGCGCTCCTTAATCGTGCCGCCAGTCTTGAGTTCGTACACCTCGCGCGGCATAGGGCTGACCAGTTGGAACTTGTACTCATGTTCAAAATCCTTTGGCTCTTCGACCTTCTCCTGTGCGCCTTCTTCAGACTGCAGGATATCGTAGCATTCAACGAACGCGTAAAGTTCCTCGATATGAGCATCCGCGGCGAATTTGCGGACCACACGCTCGGCATTAGGCATGCGAAGACTGATGCGTACGATGTCCTTTTCCTCGGGACTGGGCTCAGAGCGAATTGATGCGGCGCGCCATTTGCGCCATTGGGCGAGGTTTTGTGCGTATCGTTCAATGGCTTGTTCGCGCTCAAGTGCTTCCTTTTCTTCTCGGGCTTTCCGCTCCGCTTCCTCCTTCTTCTTGCGCGCCTTTTCTCGGTCCGCTGCAAGTGAGCGTTCATATGCGCTGTTCTGTTGTTCTCGGATATTCCTTGTCGCCTGCTG